GAAGACCGATGTGGAGCAGTCCGACGAACAGGAAGTACTGCGAGTAATCGCAGCACGAGGTAGTCTGCAGGCAAAGTCCTACTGCCCGTTGTGATAGAAGTGTGAAGGTAGTAAAGCGTTTCACCCAGATGACCAGCATGTCCATATTAATGGAAATAGTGATGCTACCTTCCCCAAGGAAAGACGGGCCAGAAAATGTCGACCCTAGAAACTGCGCACTCCAATCGCCCAAAACAGTCGAAATACTTAGAACTAGAGTCTAGTGGTGATCAAAAGGCTCCCGCTGTGCACAGACACAAGGAGTAAAACACTAGTACCTTACTCCCCGCTTCAGGCTATTGGGTCATTGGCTCTAGGAAAGGACCTGAGGTAACCAAACGCTGCTTCGCCCTTCAGGCGTTGAGTTATAGGGAGGTGACTGCCGAACAAAACCCTACATCCTCCCACTGCCTTCTAAGTCAGACTTTGGGGCCAAATCTCACGGTGGGGTGCCTCAACCAAACCCCATCTCTCAACTTGGGCAACCGCAGAATATCGTTCGCCTTTGCAGCTTTTCGCTCACCGGCCTCCCCCCACACCATCTTGCCATCCATCAAATGATGCTGTGCGATCAACCGACCTACCAATTTCCCAGCCGTCGTCGAGGAAAGTAAACTTAAATAACAACTTGATATCTTGAAAGATATGATTCATGTTGCGACCTTCTATGTTCGCACCCCAGCCATTGTTCTGTGTCTGAACCGTCGTCGAGGAAAGTAAACTAAAATAACAACTTGATATCTTGAAAGATCTGATTCATGTTGCGACCTTCTATGTTCGCACTCTATGTCAAATTGGGCAACAGGCATCTCTAGCTGAAACCCTGTTTTCCGGAACTGTCGGTGCATATTGTGTCTCCGAAACACGCACACAAGACCCCACTTCGGTGAAGCGCGTCAAGCACCCTGGGATGTGCTCAATTGTTCCACATTTCACTCTTCAGATATCTGGTGGTCCTGACGCAATAGCTCGTGGTATCTACGGTGTGGGGTTTGCACTCATCTCGAAGGCTGAGAGCGCTCTACTGAACTGGATCCCAGTGAACAGTTGTCTTTGCGCTGTGCGGTTGTCATGCTCAATACAGGTCAATGTTGTAAACGATGTCTACGTGTCGCATCATCATACACCATCACTCTGACAGAGTTCCTCGACAATCATCCCAGTTTTCAAAAAGGTCGCAAGAACGTCGTGCGAAGATCATCATATCATCTGTCTTCAATGCGTCGCACCTAAGGTTCTCTCTGACATCATTTTGCGTAGTTGATTGATTATTGGGGGAGACGATTCTTGAAAATCAAGCCTGGTTTCTTCCTGGCTGAGGATGCATCCACCATATATTTACTTTGACAAGTTCTTGGACAGTGTCACTGCTTCGTACGTCCCACGTTGGTGGTTTTCTATCTGAAGGCTGCTTTTGACTCTGTCGAGTGTGAAAATCTTTGACAGTGTCTGGTAATCAAAGGTGCCCTTTCAAATCTCTATCTCTTTTGAGGGCACTGTATGTGAGCCCCTATGAGCGCATACGGGTATACCATAAGCTTCACCTTAGTCCACCACGTCCAATAGTGTAAGACCAGGCTGTTCTTTCTCTCCTTTCCTCTTCAAAATTATTGATGTGCTGCTTGACATCCTATACCTGCCTCTGAAACATCTGGGTCGAAATTCTCCTAGGACGTTCGCTTACAGGTACTGGGCATGCTGACGATATAGCTCTCCTTGGTTTAGATCCTCCCAAGATGTAAACCACTTTGAATAGCCTAAATAACGCTGCATGGTTTCGCCTGTGCTTCACACCTGCAAATTGTAAAGCGCTGCTGAAAGCTTGGCTGGGACCCACCACAAACCCTATGATCGCAGACGATCCAATCGATTCGGTAGACAAATTTGTTTACCTGGGTATTTGTATAAGTTCCAGTGGACTGACTGGAGATGAAGTTACTTGACTAATCGGGAAGGCCTTGAAAACTTTTGCCAACCTCCGGGACCCATGCCGCTGACATGAAGTCAGTTTGTATGCCAAGAGCAGAGTTTGCACCGCAGCAGAGCGATCCATATTAGTTTATGGATCAGAGACGTGGGCTCTATGCGCAGAGAGAACACTAAATATATTTGTGCTTGACCACTGGTGACTCGCGAGCATTGGTCAGGTATGGTGGGAACATCGAATTAGCAATACTGAGGTACGCCTGATGGTCCTGTGGAGAAGGAACTTTCCAGTGACAGATAAATCACCCACGCTTCATAGGACATGTATTCAGCATGCTAGAACGCTGTCTGCCTCGCAGTGCTCTTTTCAGCTAGCCCTGTTCTGAGTGGAGACGATCGAGACGTGGACAGTGTATGACCTGGCAATTGTGCATGGAAACGCTAACCAGTGAACTCAGTCAAGTCAATGACTGCCGCTTCTCTGGTTGGGGACCGCGGGACTCAACCCACTAATGGTTTATGGTGCTGGCGGACCTAGCCCAATCGCGCAGTCAGTGGCGCTTGTGAATCAAAGCTATCGCCTTCAATGTGTAGGTATCCAGTTCCCGAACTAAGTGAATATGCCATCGCATCCGAGGCTTGGCTGTATGCCCCACACTCTCACTTTCCCGTGATCGAAACCGTAGCAGCTGGAACCAGTGTACCCGTTACACATGTTTCTTAGCTGATAAGTTAAACTGAATTGACTTCACTCACCAGGCCTACTCTCCCAGGTGGAAACCCGGCTGAGCAACTGCAGGTGAGCAGTTGAATTGGTCTTATTTAGTCCAATGATTCAGGCACTCTTTGATTTCACAGAGGAGCTGGTCGCTATTATCTGTGATTGTTTTACTCACCGTAGGCCTTTATGGGCCCGTCGCGCGTATTAGCTGGAACGGCTTACGCAAAATCCCATACTTTTTCGCTTCCTCCATCTTATCAGCTTTATTTGTCCACCAGGCTGTCGATCAATAAAAACGTTCATTTTCGTCCGAAGTCTGACAGGTTGTCGGACAATTGTCGAGCAATTTTAGAATGTTGCCCCGATCAACAAGCCAAGCGCCTCGCACCTTGCAAGGTTGCGGACAGTATCCTCCACTAAGGGTTAACGTCACAAGTGCTGTCCGAATTCAGCAGGTGGCTTTTTTTAGTGGGAAAGCGAGATGTGTACATATTTCGCATCCTTAAAGACCACATGGAAGCAGCAGTAAACAAGCGCATGATCCCAGTCTACATAGGTGATCCAGAATGAGCAGCAGTAAGTAATTGACGGGCATCCTTAATGACCACATGGAAGCAGCAGTAAGCAAGCGCATGATCCCAGTCTACATAGGTGGTCCAGAATGAGCAGCAGTAAGTAATTGACGCACGCCGCCTGTAGCTAATAGTAATATGGTCTGTCTGTTGGAGGTCTGCTTGCGTTGGAAGGCACTTTTTGACCAAGTGACTTCGCTTGCTTTGGAAGTTTGTACTGCACAGAAAGTGGGTCCAGTTCATAACTGCAGAAGATATACACTGTTGTCTGCGCATACCAATTCCGGTCCTAAACGACCTTCCAATTGAGTTTCAGCTACGTGCGCATTCGTATCCCTGGCAACCAATACAATACGTGAACCCTTATCCCGCCGCCACAAGGCACTGCAAGACTGGATGGGTTGGAACCCTAACCTCTTGCTTGCAAATGAGCCGAGTGAAGTAGTGGATAAATTTGTCCATCGGGACAGTTGTATCTTTCCTGCTAGTGAAGCCAAAAATGATATTTCCCTCCGGTTTGGGAACAACAAAACAGCTTTCGTGAACCTGCGTCACCTGTGGCGTAGGTGTGACATCAGCTTGCCTGTTAATGATCAAGTTTGCAATGCTCTCATACACTCCATATTGTTACATGGGTCGAAAACTTGACCTCTGCCTTGAGGACGTCAAAAAACTCAATGTTTGACCGTCTTCGGAGCATTGTCCAAATCTATTGGAAGCTAGATCAGTAATGCTGAAGTACGTTGAATGGTTTTCTGGAGAAATAACTCACCCACAAGAGCTTAGCTCGTGACGACCCATAGGCTATGCTGGCTTGGTCACGTGATCTGTATACCAGTCGACTGGTTTACTCGGAAGGCGCAACGATACGAAGGACGAAGACGAGTCATGGGAGGTCAAGCAGTGAATTGACAACGAGTTATGAAAATCGTTATCAACGAACTCAGTTGCGCTGGTCATTGTCCCCTTCCTGGATGTAGACTCATCCGGGCCGAGACACATCAATGGCTAAATACTTTTTCAGATGACAGTGCGCGCATCCATCCAAGCTGTTGCCTCCAATGAATGGCTTCCCCTCCCGATAGTCCTAACGAAAGTCCACTGACACTTTCGTATTAATGCATCAATCATATCAGCTATCCCCTCCAGTGCGTACTTATCTACCCCTACCTCTCCAGACCACTGGCGAACAAAACTGGCAGCCTGGGATAGCTCCGTGATTAAGGTGCGACGGGATATCCGTGGTTCTAATCCAACACCAGCATAGCAACTGCTCCTACCTAGGCTTAGGCATTCAGAGAGTATCTCAGCCGTCATACTTTCTTTCGGTGGCATTGCAGGTATGTACCGAAAAGAGTACATCTTTATTTTTTTCTTGCCACTGTGCAACAAGTACATTGTGTTTAAAGCTGCTATTGATGTTGGTTTTTCAAGCTGGAAGTAACCCTTAAGTCAGGGCGCGATCTCCTGGCTATTGCGTCTTCCTCGTCTGGGCGGGGTAAACTATCATAATTTCTGGTTGCATGGCCGTTGTGCACCAAGGAAGCAGGTACTGAGCAGTTTTGTTTTCTTCTTTTGCATTATCCTTCGACGATGCGGTATTAAACCGAAGTTCTGGGGCTAATCCAAGAACAGCACTTCGGTGAGTTACGATTACTGTCAGACTCAAGTGCTCTTTTTGTTGGCCTAACTAGGCCAGTCTCCCTGATCCTCCTTACTCAATTCTTTATTACAGTTTTGGTATGTCACTCCGCGCACCTCTCCTTATTTTGTGCGTGATTGTTCTCATCATTTGTCTGCTGCTTCCCATCACGGTTTGGGAAGCATTTGTGGAACACTTGGAACACACTCTTGAAACATTTAATTGGCAGAGATTTCTCACCTCCACCACGCTTTACCGCCTCTTTGAAGCTGTGAGAACTTCTGCAGACCGGAATGGCTTCCTCCATCCGAATATGATCAGAAAGGACGCTGCAACAAGTGGCTTGATATACCGCGATCTCATACACGAAGTGGTTCGGCTTCATAGGAGCCAACGTGCCGGATTTGCTCACCTATCTCAGACGCGAATGAGACGCTTACCTTCGTCAAGTATGTTTCAACAAGCTTTTTCTCATTTTGGTTATACTGATAGGTGAAAGATCCGAAGCACGTCAGGCACTCTTGGCTGCGAGGATTCACCAAAACTCACGACAGTATTTGAAAGCACGAAAGCTGCTACAGCATGCTTTTCGACTGGACCCCAATAATCTTGATATCTTGATTGCGTTGGGTGAAGCAATCGAAGATCAGTGGAGAACGATGAAGCTGATCGATCGGGACAATGGAAAGTGTTATCCGAGTTCTTTGATGAATGTAAACGAGCAGGCCGTTGTCGAAGTTGACGATCTTTTATTGACCGCGGAACACCTCTACACACGTGCTCTGATTGTGGATCCGAAATCCAGAACGGCTGACCAATCCAAAGAACGTCTAATGCCACTGGTTGAAGAGATTGACCAACGGCGGTAAGCCACATAACGAGCATCAGTCTTACCTTTCGAAGTACCTATTCTCACGGCTCTGCTGTATATTGATTTTTCTACTTGATGTGCTCCGCACTTCGGGTGAAGCTTTTCGGAATATCACCTGATGTATTCACGTAAGTAGTGCTTAAGATGCGTAAGCCTTGATTGGGTTCAGAGTACACTAGTAAACGAGCCGATCGGGGATCGGAGAACGAGTCACATACGCTTTTGAGTGGTAGCCTTCTAATGACCTGGCAAGAGCCTCAGTAAGGGTCGCTTGTCAACCGCGCCTAAAGCATCAGTGAAGTCAGCAGGCATTGGCCCTTATATCCAGTGCTGCAGTCTAGTCTTACAACAGCGTCTGCCGTTGAACATCATCATCGACAGCACGTCAGTGTTCGACGCCGATGCCTCGCTGCAGCACAACCTAGATTTATTTTGAAGAAAAGAATAGAAATGGATAGAGAAGGGACTTCGTGCCATCCTACCACAATCACTCCATGGTCTGCATTTTCAGATACTTATTCAAGCAATCTGGATAGAAACTGACGGCAGGAACGCCACTGCCTGATTACTTACCATTCCTTGCAGCTTCTCCGGCTATACACACTAGGGATCACACAGACCTTTCTTAATCATTCTCATACCCCTCTGTCAGGTCAAAGGTTGACCACCACTCTGAACTGAACACGGAAAACAGCACCCCCTTCAGCAATCGATGGTTCTGTATGCGCAATACATGGCATAACCATCGCAGCTTCTGGTGCTGGACACATTTTTTTCGATTGAAGTCCCCGTCGCACAACCGAACATTCGTTTTCAAATTGCCTCGCTACAGATTTGCCGGCGACCAGCGATTGACCTTTCTCCTGCCGTGCTGCTGTTATCGCAGCCACAGGAATTTTCACAATCGGTTGGCCAACTCGGCCCACCATGGTGCCAGAGTACTTGGTTTTCCGAACTCCGATGAAGAGGAACGACGAAAGGTGTTTGACCATCACAGTATATGGGTAAATCTTGAGGCACGTTTGAAATAAGGTCATGTTCCTATAAGACCCCCGATGTTAAGACCAACTCCTCGTAAGAATGAGCTTTGACTCCACAAATTTCCTCAGATTGGATCAGGCGGCCTGCCATCAGAGCTAACGTGTCGCCAGGTGGTCCTGCGGAAAGCCTCCGCGACTCCTAAGCAATTCAGAGAACAATGGATCAGAGGTACTGTAGGAAATGCCTGGTAAACAATTGGTGGATTCATTATGGAATCACGCTTTGCTTGTAAAACGAAGGTCTCCAGGTCAACTAACAAATTTATCGGACCGGCCATCTCAGGTCGTGTAACTAATTGAAGAGATCTTTTTCACCCAACGCGCTTTATCAGTTTTGCATATTGGCCAAGATTTGTTGCTGGTTCTTGCGGACGACTACTTGCGATTGAGGAGTGAAGGAAAAACGAAAAATAAACAGGGCTTTGAGCCTTGGTCTCGAAATTCAGGGCACCAGTCGCATGTTCCTGTTGGGTATGGTTCACAAATTTTGTTGGTCTGTGTGAATTGGAAACTACTAAAATAGTTAGATCAGAGAGTGTATTTTAATGGAGATATCGTAAATGGAACCAATCGATACTGAAAAACCGAGAAACACTACAGTTATCGCATCCTTATTGGGAATCATCAGCAGTGCACATCTCGCAAAACTTCGGTAGGGTGTTTCAAACCAGCAACCCTCAGACTAGTAGTTTGAACGGTTAAGAGCAGCCGCCTGTGGGAGTTTCATGAGAAGCGGACTGCTGATGATTCCCTATAGGGATGACACAGCTGTAGAGTGCTGGCTTTTCAGCATAGATTGGCTTTAGTTACATGATGAAATACATTAAACTTTCCAAATACCTTCACACTGCCGACGGATGAGGTGGATTTTGATCCGCTTGAGTTTATATTTTACACCTGAATCACTTGCATGGAAGACTTTTCTTCATTGCCAATCGCAAACCGCCACGTGTCTGTCCGACTGATCTAAAGTTCACCTTCATCTACCTGCTAGATCAACCCGCCTTACTCAATTCACATTTAAATACTCTCCGATCTGTACCTCCTCCGCCGTCAGTCTCTGTGGTGTGAATCTTAGTTTTCGTCTAAGAACTTTGCGTTTTCCAAATCTCCCTTGTGTCTAGTGTCCCCTGCACGCCCCGTTATTGCCATCTTGGGCTACTGCCTCACATCCATCTCCGTTTTTTGATGTTCCGTTAATTTGTCGCTCGTGCTCATCAACTGCATCATTACTGAAACTAAGTGCTTTTCCTGTGGAATTTCGTTTTAACGTTAGACTTCTTGACCATCCTTTTAATAATTGCAGTTGCCTTTCTTTTCGCCCGGATGGCAGCTGTTCCATTCCACTCCTTGTTCAGAGAGACGGTTGCCGCCTTAATTGCAGTTCAATTAAACTCATTGGGCATCCGCTTTGCTGAAGCCACTATTAGCCCCATTTCGCGCTGCTCTTTGATCGGATCTCATCCTACTCTACTAATCATTTCTGAAACTATCCTTTTGTTAGCTGTTTTATGATGGAGTTTAAACCGGTACCTTTGGTTCCCGGTAAACAGTAGTTTTTGGGTGTCATTCAGTCCATGGATGGCAGTGAACTCAAACTTGACTACTGCTCCGTGCTAAATTTAATGTGAGGGTTCACAGCATTGAGATATTGATGGTGTTCGTTGACCTTATGTTGTGTCTTGACTTGATG